ATGTTCTTAAAGAGGCTATAACCAATCCCAATCAATGGAATTTTGATCAATTTATAGAAACCAATGCATGGAAACCTGATAAAGATAATAACTGTGTTCAGCGATTTATAAAACGGACGAGAAAAAAATATGAAAATAAAATTCCAGATCCTGGTGAGCGATTTAGTTATGTGGTAACTACGATTTTTATGTTTTATCATCCAAAATGGGAAAATTTATATGCGGAAGAGTATCAATGCCATCAATATGATGATGACGACAATAGTAGTGTGTTGTCGATGATAATTTTACATGTGAATGAATAAACACTTCCGATACAAGGTCCAATAGTTCATTGGATTCAAGTTCCGATGATTTAAGCGGTGGTTCCAGAACAATACCTTTAAAAAAACGAATTCGCAACACATGGTTTTGTGTGAAAGTATTTTGAAAAGTGAAAGATTCAAGTGGAAATGAATTCGTAATTTGCAAATTAAAAAAAAAAAAAAAACGAAATATTATTATTATAAAAAAAAAATTTTAGTCGGGCTAAAATAGTCAACTAAAATAATCAACTAATAGTCGACTAAAGAAATTTTTGACCAACTAGTAGTCGACTAAGGATTTTTTGGACGATTCCAACCTCTAGTTGTCATGTTGTATGTAAAGCATAAATATGCTTGGAATTTCCATGTTCATACCATAATCTTCTTAGTAATGAAACAATAATAATATCGCCAATAAAATAATTAGTAGAAGCATATCATAACCTTTAATTAACTTCTATACTACCAAGAGGACGGACCCTTTGAAAAATTATTAAATATTCAAGTCTAGATGTTAATCATTTTATGTTGCTACCAAAGCTCAAAAAGGCTGGAATATTTAGAGTTACGAAGCTGTGACGATGATGAAAAATTTAACGGAACAATCTACAAAACTTAAACCTCTCAAGATCAACAAGAAGACATGAAAAATTTTTAAAAGGTTTTTGGAAAATATGCTATAATTTAAAAGGTTTGGTAACACTTTATGGTAATAATTTCAATCGAAAATTATTTGAAATAATCAATATTGTAAAAAGTTATTGATCAAGATACATTTCATTTAAATTCATTTCATCATTCTTTCAACACATGAATCAAATGACTCACGAGTGAAATAGAAACGATTGGGTTCACCAAGATCGAATTAAAAAAAATCAGGTTTAAGAAGATGGGTGGTGCAATGGATGGTAATAATATGCTCGAAATTTAAACGAAACATTACCAACAAATTCAAATAAACAATGTTACTTTTTATATTAGAAATTAGACGACCTTTTTATACATATTTCCGAACATAATAAAAATATATAAATGTATACAGATAAGAATATTCTTCTTTCTAAATATCAGATAATAAATGATACAATATATTGATCGTTTGCAGGAGTCAATAACTTTATTATATTTTTCTGATAGAGCATAAAAATTGTATTGAAGAATCAACCATGTACTTATTCGCATTTAATCAGAACTTTAGTATAAAGGTAAAGAAATTAAAAGTATATTGCATTGAATAAGAATAAACAAATCATATGGTATGTAAGTCACGTGATAATATATCCCACGGATTAAAATTCTGAATTATAGGGGTAGGTTAACAGATTATAAAGACAAAAAACATCCTATCATCTTAAAAAGTCTATTCCAAGACTTTGAAAATAATATGTCAAATCATATATAAATAAATATATATTTTAAAGAAAAAAATATCATAATCAGTATACCTTAATGTAATATAAAATTAAATTATTATTTATTTTTCTTTCTCCTCTCCTATAACATTATAAAAACTTTCATATCAATTTTTCTCCTTCTATCTTCCATTCTCTCGCCAGCAAACATCCGTCATCATTTTCCATTCTTCTATCGCCAACTTTAATTTTACATACATCATTTTTCAATTATTTTATCTATTTAAGTATATTGTCTAATTTCATTAATAATCAAAAAATTGATTGTTCAATAATAATAAATCCAAATAAAATCTTAACTTATCTAATATATATTTTCTATATAACTTTTAATATAATTGATAATTAACTAATGATGACTAATTATTTTTTTCCATTTCTACCACCTTTCCCACTGCCACTTTTTTTCCCTTCACCTTCCTGCTCTTTGATTTCATTTAACAATTTATTTAACTCTTCTTTAAATGGTTCCAATTTTTTAAGTTTTTCATGTTCATCTGTAATTAAATTCTCGCCATTATCTTGTTTTTCTTTAATTCTTTCAATTTGTCTGATTTTTTTCTCTAAAGCTTTTATTTTTTTCTTGTTCATCTCGATCAATTGTTCTTTATTTAACATTTCTCCTTTATTATCATCAACTTTGTTGTTGTTGTTGTGGATATTAACTTGATCATTATCTAATGGCTGAATTTTCATATCTTTTAATTTATCTTCTAGTTCATCGACGTCAACACTATTGTTATTATTATTATGAACATTGTCATCATTGTCATTATTTGAATTTAATTTATTTCTTGCCTCTTTGTTTTTAGCATTTCGTTTTTCATTTTTCCTTTGAGCTTTTGTTTTAGGTTGTTCGGGCGTTTTATTTGTCGTTGTTGTTGAAGTTGTTGTTACAGTCTCTTGTGCATATTTATTTCTATAAAGTGGAACATCTTCTGGTGGAATGTAGCCTGGACGTACTTTACGTTCCGCTCGAATGGTTCCATCTGGTCGTTTACTTGCCGGTATAACTCTTTCTCCATTATCTTTTGTGATTATGCCAGAAGGTGTTGGTGATTGTTTAGAAGTCATACTGATTTTTGAAAAAAAAAATTTTTACACAAATTTATTTATACAGTAAATGGCGTGCGTGTCGTAACAAAGTGAGTGATATAACTGAAAATTACAGGGGTAAATGCATTAGTGCTGATCCATTTTTTTTAATTGATGATTCATAGACGGATCGTCAATTAATGTGTACGTGTCGATCAAATCACAAAATTCTTTAAAAAATGTCATCAAAAAACAATAAAACAATCAAATGAAGCAGAAAAAATATATGGGTAAGTGTTTTAAGAATGATGGTGGTGGTTATCGCCATTCGTCGTCACTCTAATTTATTAAAAGAATGGTGGTTACGATCATCGCTATGTAAACTTGTATAAATCTACAGTATTTTTAATTTTCTGATGCATTATGATTACTGCTTCTCATAACCCTGAACAAGTATGACATATAACCAAGTTGTATATTAATTAATTTCATCTTTAATAAAACATTAAATTTATTTTAAAAAGGATAATGATGTTAAACTTGTTGGATATAATAATCATTTTAAAGATAGGTCTTACCAATGACTCCAATCATTTAAATTTTTATTTCTAATCATCACTTTTCAAAAAAACAAAAGTTAAAATGGACCTCTAAACCCCGAGATTATAATGCAATAGGCAAATCCAGAGGGACAAGAGGCTCTTGAATTGCTTGAATTGCATTTGGGTTCTTAAATCTTTCAAAGAACTTATCGAAGCTTTCTATGCGCGAGAGATTCTTTGGTATCGTAAGGCTTATAATTTGATAACACTGGCATAGGTTGGAAAAGGTAATTTTATTAATTCTAACTACTGAGCTTGATATTTCAGATTTATTTATTCATTAATTTCAGAAATAATTTTTTGCATAGTTTTAGTGTATTTATTACTCGAGCGATGGATTTATTTAATACGCGTGGGTGGGTATTATTAGAAGAGAGAAGTATGAGAGCCTTTCTAGTTCTATTATAATTGATTATTACTACTATACATACATATTTATATTTCCCCATAATTTTCTCTTTTTTTTTTTTCATAGCGATGAATAGCTTGTGTAGTTTGTATAGATGAACCTTATTATAAGGTTAACAACAATGTCAATGGTTAAATTTTACTTTCTCTGAAGAAGCCTGTGCAACAAAATTTTTTGGGTTCTTTCCACATGTGATTGGATCTAAAGAATTCGAACGATGTGTGGCCTAGGAATTTATGGATTTTTTGAATTGCACTTGGGTTCTTTTTGTGAGGGACCTATAGACGAAGCCAAACATATCGATTAAACCTGATACCTAGGTTTAATCTGTCAGGTCATTGCTCAATTACGGAGCCAGAGTTTCGACTTGAGTAACAATATTATTTTTGTTTTTTAGAAGTAACGCTACAAGCTTGAAGTTGTTGTACGCGACCAAGAAGGAAACCCAGAGGCCAATTCCGCTTCTCTACTACCATTTGGATGACAAGGCGAGGATTAGATTAAAATTCAAGTTTTTTTCAAAATTGGTTCCTTTTAAATTTATTTCCGCATGGTCTTAATATTATCCTTAATCTGGGAGTTTATTTCATTTGGATCTTTCCTGTTCATTGTTTATTCTCATTACATTTGTTTATGATATATACACACTGAATTGTTTATTGGAAGCAAAGGTAATACTGTGGAGTCGTTTACGATGGATTTAGAATTCGAGGGTCTTGGCCTTTGTTGAATGATAGATCAATATTTCCCATTGTTTGTTCCAGCATTCGCTCATTAGAGGTATACAATGTGTCAAATTTTCATCCTTTTATAAACTGTGCTCATGATTCCATATTTTCAGGAGCGTGTTAATCAATCACAGAATCTTTGATGCGATCGACGGGCAAAAAAAGAGTTACACTTTTTATTACATTTAGTAAATATTTAAAAAACTTCATTTTTATATATAACACTTGCTTTATTGACAATCTAATAAAATGTCTAATACAAATAATCAAAACAATTTTTTTGGTAGTAATTTTTTTTTTGAAACCTATCCTGACATTGGTAGATTTAAAAATAAGAGGAAAATTATGAGGATATACTTGGAAAAAATTGAATCTTTATTTGTTTGATTTTTTATTCCCGTAATTCTTCTATACTTTTGTGTCATCCATCATGTTCAATAGCACCGATAATACTTCTACTACCAATTGTAATAATGACTTCATAATTCTCATAATTTCTTCAAGTAACATCATCTACTATCTTGGTTATTAGAAACAAGTTGGGTGAACTTAGCATTGAATGCCTCCTATAATAAATAATAGTAATAATCAATAAAAAAGTAAATATATTACTTAATGAGATTATATATAAATAAAAATACCTGTAGAATATTTGCATCTTGATAGATTTCAGATCCATCTTCATTGAAAGTGCGTGCATTATCAAACATCAAAGTCATATCATTGGAAAATTCATCATAAGACTTATAATGTCCACGATTAATGCGTTTACGTAAAAGATTAAGGGATACTGGTTTTTTGATTACTTTATAATAGGATGGATATTCTTTTCTGTTAGGAAGATCAAGGAATAATTCAGCTCTTTTACGTGGTTTTCTACGAAAAAAAAAACCACCAAAATATGTTAATGTATAATATATGACGAATACATGAATTTAATAATAACCAACTTACTCGTCTGATTTGTCAATAAAGCTTTCAAGATAAACAATACATTGATGAAATACTTTTTTCATTTTAATGGAAGAGCTTTGATCAACCATTTGTTTTTTCTATTTTTAAATATAAATAATAAATATTAATATTAATAAATATTATATATTATATAAAAATAATATAAATAATCATCTCACTGAATTTGGAGTATCATCATCATCATCATCCTCGTCATCCTCGTCATCCCCATCTTCATCATCTTCATTATTATCTTCGTCTTCATCATCGATCAAATCTAGCTTGCGTTTTGTTGAACCATGGAAAGAAAAACTTTGTGTAGTTAAAGATCCAGAAACAAAATCTTTTTGTATAATTTTTTGCGAGCTGCTGCTGCTGCTACTTGCAACATTCCTATTATTTTCTTCAATTTCATTGTCATCCTCATCATCACCAATTTTCACGTCCACTCTTTTCCTCCTTGACCTTTTTTTCATATTTTTTAACTCTTCAATAGTCGTCAACTCCTCTTGTATATTATTGTGGATACCTTCTGTCGCTTTCTGTTTAGCTTTCCTAATAGATCTTGCATCACTGGCAATTTTCTTTTTTGGCTTTTCATCCTCTGAATTAACAACATCTTCTGCTTTTCGTTTTCCTTTTCGGTCTTTTCGATCTTTCTTATACCTTTTTTTAGGCTTCAATTCCACATCCTCTTGTTCTTTCACCTCTGGTTCTTCGCCCTCATTATCTTCATCATCTTTACCTTTGACTTTTTTTCTTTCAAGGCGTGCTTTTTTCTTTTCTTTCTTTTTAGTAATTAAATCTGCTACATCCATGTTTTTTTCAAGTGCCTTTTTTATAAATAAAATAAATAAACCGATTATAGATAACTAATTATATGTATTTTTTTATTAAAAAAAATGACTTACTTTTAAGTATTGATCTTCAGTTAAACCATCATCATAGAGAACTTCCTTTCGTTGTCTTTGACCTCTACCATATTCTTCAACATTTTCTGCTTTGATTATTTTCTCATGTTCTGCTAAATACAAAGGAGGCAATTCATGCTCTTCTATTAATCTACCTTTTCTAACACTACTACTTCCTGAACTTAACCATTCTCTTTCCTCGATTTTTTCTCTCTCCTCGTCAATCTTTCTAAAGATTGTTAATTCATCGTCACCACGTGCCAATAATTCATTAATTTCATCATCATCAAGAACTTCATTTTCATCTGTTTCATTTGTTTCATCATTATCTCCACCTTCTAATAACGATCTCTAGAATTATATAGTTTTTATTGATTAATTAATTGTTAGTTCAATAAATATATTGGCGCTTATTATAATGTTGATGGCATACCAAATAATCTTCACGTTCTTGAGCAGTGCTTTTATGATCAAATTTTCCTGCTTGAATCACCTTACCATCAATATCAAGTTTATATTGAGCACGAGCCAAAATATTTTCTTCAATGGATTTTTGTGAAATCAATCGTAAAATTTTAACTTCATTTTTTTGTCCAATTCTATGAGCTCGATCCTGAGCTTGTAAGTCTTGGTGAGGATTCCTAAACAATTAAATTATTTTTATTATTATTATTATTACTACTATATTGCTGATGAATCACATAAAAATATAATAATAATAATAATAATAATAATAAATTAATAAATAAACAGATATACCAATCAGAATCAAAAATTATAACAGTATCAGCAGTTTGTAAGTTTAAACCTAAACCACCAGCACGTGTACTTAACATGAAAATGGAATATGGTGAAGCAGGAGCATTAAATTGTCCTAAAAGTTTTGTACGGTCTTCAGACTATTTATTTTTGAGAGAGAGAAAAAAGGAATTAGTGATGATGATAATGATTATTATTTATAATTAATTAATAATAATTAATTTACTTTTGTTGTACCATCCAATCTAAGAAAACTATAGCCTCTCCATTCAAAATAATCTTGCATTATATCCATGATTGTAGTCATTTGAAAAAATACCAAAATCTATATCATAAATACATGTATACAATTATTTATTTATTAATTTAATAACAAGTAAATAATTATAAATAAATTAAAAATTAAATTACTTTGTGGTTTGTCCTGATTAGTTTAGGTAAAATTCTATCGAGAAATTCAAACTTTCCTGATACACGGTATAAATATTCATTATTACTATTACTTTTATTGATGTCTTTTTCAACTTCTTTAAAAACAAATGGATGATTACATATTTTTCTTAATTGCATTATTGTGTTGTTAAGACCCTTAATACCAGTTTTCCTATTTATATATATTATATATTTATATTATATAATTATAAATAAATTAATGCGATTTTATTTGAGGAAAAAAAGACTTACCCTTTTTCTCCTTTGTTAACAAATATTGCGCCATGTGTTTTCATTTGATTATATAATTTAATTTGAAGTGCTGATAATTTAACTTTTATTATCTTTTCAATCTTATCTGGAAGTTCAGATTCAACATCTTTTTTTAATCGTCTTAAAAGAAAAGGTCGAAGCACTTTGTGAAGACGACGAATAATCAAGAGCGTCTCCTCTTCATTTAAAGCTATTTTATCTTGACCTCCAGTATTTGCAAATGGCGTATTAAACCATTCATCAAAACTTTCCAATGAGTCAAAGATCTTTGGTAAAACAAAGTTTAATAATGACCACAATTCGGGTAAATTATTCTATGTTATATATATTTATTAAAAAAAAAAAAAAACGTGAGACATACGAGACATACATAATAGAATAAACCTATTAAAGAATCAATTAATAAATGAAATAAATCAAATACCTGTAATGGAGTTCCGGTCAAGATTAAACGATATCTGAATTTGTATTTAGTACTCAATACCATGGACAATTTAGAATTGACATTTTTCATACGGTGACCCTCATCAACTATCACATACAACCATTTAACTTTACCCAATTGTTGTTTGTCCTTAATAACATATTCATATGTAGTCAAAAATACTTGAAAATCAATATGTTTCAAGTGTCTTTGTTGTATACTTCTTCTCTCATTAATTGTTCCTTTATAAACCACTTTATTAATATCTGGTGCCCATTTTTCCAATTCCACCATCCAATTTGTCAATGTACTATCATCAATATAAATAATATAATGTATATCAATAAATTTAATTATTAAAATTAAAACTATTTCTGTTGGTATTACTTACGATAACGGAACAATTATTAGAAAAGGACCATTTTGTCTCTTTTTTTCAATTAAATAAGTAATCAAGGAAATTGTTTGGATTGTTTTTCCCAATCCCATTTCATCCGCAAGGATACCATTCAATCGATTATTGTATAATGACACCATCCATTCAAGTCCTTTTATTTGATATTCTTTCAACACACCACCTTTAAGTATTGATGGTTGTTTTACTTCCTCTTTTATTCTATGTGCAACTTGATAATAATCAATTTTCTTGCCATCCTAGTTGTTTATCGAGGAAAGAAGAAAATAAATACAAATGATCTAATAATAATATATTGCGATATTGATATAAAAATATACCCTTGTCTCAATAATATTATCTTCATCAATAACTGATGATGATAATGATATGCTTGGACCATTATGAGCGTTAATCGTAGAATTATTATCAAAATTTTGATTTTGTTGAGAGGAAACCGCTTTTGCTAATGATTCAAGATACTGGTCAGTTTGTTTTAATAAATGGCTGAGTCTAGTATCTTTAGTTTCATCAATCAATTTCATGTATGCCTCCTCATCATTATCATCAACACCAGAAACCAACAGTGCTTCTACTTCCTCCACCTTAATTACCACTAATTACACTACTAC